ATAGTCTCCTTTTATTTTCTGAGATTCCTCATCTGTGTACTCATTATGTTGTAATGTCCTTGAAAATTTCTACATCTCTGTCATCTTTGGATCTGTTTCTCTTGATCTGATTTCCTTAAGTATGTGTGATTTTCCTGTTTCTTACCTACCTGGTAGTATTTATCTAGATGGTGGATACCAAATTGTTAATGAGTGTAGATTTTGTTGATTTCCTTGGAAGATAGTTGAGACTTGTTCTAGCAGACAGTTTTATTTCCTGAATGATCACTTTTACTTTTTCAAGGTTTGTTCAGGAGCATTGTTATGGTAGGTCTAGAGTAGTACTCAATCTAGGGCTACTATAGCTCTGTTCCTAAGCTGTGGCTTTGGCAGGGTCAGCTGAATGCTTGTGATGTTCACGGTGATCTCTCCACTCAGGGCTGATTGAAACTCCATGTTTCCCAGCACTGTGCACTTTCTGGAATTTCCATTTATCTCATGACCTTCAAAAAGTTATTCTAGGTAAGGGCTGGCAGAGTTTTGCCCTGCACATATTCAGCTTGACAGTTGGTCAAGGAAACTTTTGCAGATTTCTGGAGCTTCTCTCAGCAGGCCCCACCTTCCAGTTCCCTGCCCCCAAATGCAGCTTTCTCTGCAGCCTGAAATGCCAACTTCTGCTTCTTATGCCCAGACTGCTGCTCTCTGGGCTCCACTTCCTTTTATTGCTATTTGGAAGGTATCCAGGGAAACAAGCGGGGAGAATTCAAAGCTCTTCTCTCAAGGATCACAGTTCTATATGTCTGTGCAATGCCAAAAACCAGTTGCTTTCATTCTTTTGTAGTTCTCTATGGCCAAAGGGTTACATCTGATATTCATGACTGACTGGAACCAAAGAATTTGAGTCCTCACTCACACTGTGCCTTTGTTGGTTCAAATGACTTATATGGTCCTTTCTGCCTACCTCTACAGCATTATCACAAAACTATGCCACCTATACCACCACATATATGTGCACAATCAAGACACCCTGCATGTTCCTAACAACAAACCATTTTCAATTCTTCAAAAATGCTGAAGCTTCTTCCCCCAGTCCAGGCTTCCTTCATTTTGTTCTCTCTATCTATAACCCTTGCCTCATCTCTTGGCTTCTACTTATCTTTTCAAATCAGCTCAAATATCTCTGTTACTTCTCTCTTGAGTTCACACAGCAGTCTCAACCTTCCCTAATCAAAGACATTATAAAATTTCATTATAGCTTCTTACTGAATATGAATTATATTTGCCTGCTGGATTCTAAGATATATAAGGGCAGTGTGGGGATTATCCTGTTTGATTATCAAACTTTAGTCACCTACTATTGAAACACTTATGAAAATACCAATTAAAGATTTGGGCTAGGAAAAGTACTGGATAAACCTGTTCTTATAATACCCAGAGGGAATTTACTTGAAATTCTACTCTAATAATTAGTAACCTATCTACATAGACTTTGCTTATATTGCTCTGGGTGTCCTGAGTTGCCCTCTAACTATATGGCTGCCTGGCCAATTTAGTCATTTGCTTCCCTCCGTTTAAAAATTCTCTGTTGCCAACTAAAATACATGTATTTTTTTGGTGGTAGGTAATTATTAAAGCCATCATAAAACTCATACCTCAAAGAAACATATTTTGTTAGATTTTCCTAAGACATATTACCAGAAAAAACAGAACCACATTTTAATTCCTATAGATATTTTTGTGACCAAGGCAAGCACTGTATATAGTAAGGTGCTTATAATGTGCCTATGATCTTAGGAGTAAAATTACAGGTACACTTATTCTAACCATTGCAGGCTTGGAAGAGAGTTCAAACTAAACATATCGGGGTCTCTTTAATCAATGTCATGGCTAATGGCAAAAATGTACAGCATAAGTCACTGTAGTATTTGAGCTAAAGGCACAAAAAATTAGTTGGATTAAACTATAAGCAATGATATCAAAGTGACAGATATGCATTGATTTCTCAACAGAAATTCAATGTGAAAAGAATTCAAAATATATATGCAACTGACTACTAAAGGTAATGTAATACTTCTCCCCATGAAAGTTCCCAAAAGATATTTTCAAACAAAGTTCAAACAAAAACAAAAACGAAAAAACCCACATCCCTTGGACAGAGAAATATTATCACTTAAAAACAAACAAAACATTAAAAAAAGCATTCACCATGATCAAGTTGGTTTCAGGAATACAAGGTTGCATGCCACACTTGCAAATCAATGAGTGTAACACAGTACATGAATAAAATCAAGGATAAGAACCATATGATCATCTCAATATATGCAGGACAAGCCTGTGTTAAAGCTTAACATCCCTTCATGATAAAATTCCTGAATAAATTAGGCACAGAAGGATCCTAATTCAACATAATAAGGACAACATGTGACAAACCCATGGCCAATATCATACTAAGTGGGGAAACTGAAAGCATTTCTTCTAAGATCCAAGAAAGTCCACCTTCACCCTTATTTGATATAATACTAGAAGTTTTAGCCAGAACAATTAGACAAGAGAATGAAATAAAAGGTACACAATTAAGGAACAGGAAAGTCAAATTATCCCTATTTGCTAATGATTCTATATATAGAAAATACTTGCACTGAAAGACTTTTAGACCTGATAAAGAATTTCAGTAAAATATCAGGATATGAAAATCAACATACAAAAATCAATACTCTTATTATACACCAATAATGAAGTTACTAAGAAAGAAATCAGAAAGAAGTCCCATACATATTAGCCATACACAAAATAACCCTTGGAATAAACCCAATCAAGGATGTGAAAAACCTTTACATCGAATATTGCAAAACACTGAATAAAGATACTGAAGGAGATACTAAAAGATGGAAAGACCACCCACATTCTTGGACTGGAGAATCAATATTGTTGAAATGGTCATTCTACCCAAAGTGATCTACAGATTTAGTGCAATCCCCATCAAAATACCAATGACATTCTTCATAGAATAAACCTAAAAATCCACATGGAAACACAAAAGACCCAGAATAGCCAGAGCAATCCTGAGCAAAGAGAGCAATGCTGAAGGATTTATAATACATGATTTCAAAACACACTACAGAGCCATAGTAACAAAAAACAGCATGTTATTCACATAAAGATAGATATGTAGACCAAGAGAAGAAAATCAAGAACCCAGAAATAAATCCATGCATAGTCAACCAACTGATTCTTGACAAAGGTGCCAAAAACTCACGCTGAATAAAGGACAGTCTCTTCAACAAATGATCTGAGAAAATCAGATACCCACAAGCAGAAGATTGAAACTAGATCACTATCTCTCACCCTGTACAATAATCAACTCAAAATAGACCCCAAACTTTAATGTAAGGCCCAAAACTTTAAAACTACTAGGAAAAAAAAAAAAACAGAAGGGAAGCACTTCATGATATTGGCACAAGTGATGATTTTTTGGGTAGAATTCCAAAGCTCAGGGAAAAAAAAAAAAAAAACAAAAAACAAGAACCAAAGTGATTATATCAAATTTTAGCTTTAGCACAATTAAGGAGACACTCAAGTATAGACACAACCTAGAGACTGCAAGAAAATCTTTACCAGCTATTCACTTGACTGGATTAATATCTAGATTAATATAAAGAACAAAAAAAATTAACAACAAAAAACAAGTAATCTAATTTAAAAAATGGGCAAGTGACCTGAATTTATTTCTCAAAAAAAAAGTACAAATGGCCAATAAACATGAAAAAAATGTTCAACATCTTTGGCCATCAGGGAAATGCAAATCAAAACTACACTAAGATTCCACTGAACCCTTAGTTAGAAAGGATATTATCAAAAAAATAAAAACTACTGGCAATGATGTAGACAAAAAGGAACTCACATACTGTTGTTGGTAGGAATGTTAAGTTAGTATAGTCCCTGTGGAAAATAGTATGGAAGTTCCTCAAAAAACTAAAAACAGAACTATCATATGATCCAGTTATACCGCTTCTGAGTATAACTGGATCTGAAGGAAATGAAATCAGCAAAAAAAAAAAGACACCTGTATTATATCCATGTTTATTATAGCACTATTTAGAACAGCTAGGACACAGAATCAACCTAGATGCTGTCAACAGATGAATGGAAAACAAATATGGTGTGTGTGTGTGTATGTGTGTGTGTGTATGTATATATATATATATATATATATATATATATATATATATATATACGCACAATGGAGTATTATTCAATCATAAAAAAGAATGAAATCCTATCATTTACAGGAAAATGGATGGAACTGGAGAACATGTTGAGTGAAATAAGTCAGGGACTATTAGGGGCTAGGAAGGGGGACACATTGGGGGTTGGAGGGAAGTGAAGAGAAATGGGAGACTGAGAAAAGGTGAAAGGGACAGTAGACATAATCAATGGATGATATATACATGTATGGAAATGTCACAGTGAAACCCATTAATTTGTACCATTTATACATATTAATTAAAAAAGTGAAAGACAAAATAAGAGCAAAGGGATCTAAAGAATATCCAAACTACTGAAGAAAATGACCTTTTAAGGTCCTTCTAATTCTTGAGATTTTAGAAGTCAGTTGTTTATATTTTCTTCAAAGAAATCTCAAAATTTACCCTCTTCCATAGATTCAGGGTTAAGAAGCTAAATAGTTCAAAAAGAAATATAATGACATACTTCTTTGGGACAAGAGTAAGGTAAATGGTGGGATCAAAAACAGAAAAGAAACAAATAAATATTGAAGATATCAAAAGAAGAAAAACACATCTAAATACATAGCTTCTCTAAGCCTCAGAGAGGACTGAGTGCTAGTGTCCAGCACACTTCATTATTTATTTATTTTTCCTTTTAATCTGTAGTTAAGAGACATGCAGTAGTTAAAAAAACACAAACACACAAGGAAAACCACTATGTATCATATTTATAATCATATTACAAGCACCAGAAATTTAAAAGGAAATAACTAAAATTGTGAACTCTTTTCTTACCATTGACGTCACCACCAAGGCAGGAGAAAATCCCATTGTGAGATAGAAGAAGAGCTCAACCACTTTATACCTGTAAAAAAAGAGAAATGCTTTTGAATTTAAGCATTTCTTTGTTACATAGAACATTAACATAAAAGATTTTCCTTTTTTATTTTAAAAGAGAAGTGTAAACTTTTAACTACTTAAGTGATATATATCCCTCAGAAGAAGACCACTAGGCCTCTACCTAACATACTATCAGGGAGTAACAATGACCTAGCATTTCCTCTAGGATTGAAAAGGCAGCAAACATTACATGCTACTTAGAACACGTGTCAAAAGTTACCAAATTGAATTCAATCCACCTTACATCTTTCCCTTTCCAACCCCAGACTGTCTGTCTTCATTACCATCCACACTTAAGAGAACATCAAACTATGAAGGCAGATGGGGATGCAGTTTGGGACCTGGTTTATCAAGGGCAAAGAAACAACAGCCCTAAGGAAAGAGATGCATTTTGTCTGTGTCTTCATTTTGTATTTCTACGAACTCCAATTCTCTAGCCTAATAATTATCAGATTAGGCTACAGAATACCTGAAAATTCCAAGGAACTCAATGTATTAAAATTCAACTTACATGTCTATCTAATCATAAAAGACTGGAGTCTCTTCAAAGGCAGGGACTGAGTTTATTTATGTTTGGATCTACAGGGCCTAGAACAGTGCTGGATGCAACTTAAGTGCTCAATAATGTCTGCCAAACTAAATGGTCAAGGGCAATTCACTTCGTTCTTATTGTTTAATACTCAAAACCTGTTGTAAAGTAACCGTATCAGGAGAAGAAGGAGCTTGGCAGTTTGGTGTACACCAGAAGGCCTTCCTTCTTTTACTTCCTATTTTATCTGAGTATATGACTTAAGGGTTTGAGCCCAAGAAGCAAAGTGTACCCTTGGATTTATATATATATCACATATACCCACTTGGCACTGCTAATTATGGTCAAAAGAGATTTTGAGTGAATTTCAAAATCAGAGAGACATTAATGAGAAGTACCACTTTCTCCTGAAAGGAAAAAATAAGACAATACTCTCTGACAAACACAAATTATATTCTGAAAGCCCTTCTGCCAACCATGGAGATAAAGAATTTAATAAACTGTAAATTAAATAACAATGATATCATGGTTGTGAGCTTCTCAAATTCAAGCATCTTAGATAATAAAAAGAGTTATGGATCAGGAACTGGAACACCTGGGTCCTAATTTCCAGTGAGTCACTTATGACAGATTTCAATAAGCCTTTCTTTTTATATTGTTCAATACTTGTGACTATGAGCTCTAAATAAGGAACTGTAAAGTGTGCCCCAAGGCCATAATAGTAAGAGTTTAGATATCCTTCCAAATGGCCCTTTTTTTATGGAAGCCTATTTGGAACACCCAGTAGGTTCCTATGTTGGTAGGTATTGTGCTGGGCACTTAATATCTGTTACCTTCAATCTTCATAGAAACCTTACAAAAGGCTATTTTTCTTACCTCAAGACTGTAAATTACAGAGGACACGGCTAGTTGGCCTTAGAATGACAAATGAGGTCCCACTGATTCCAAAATGCTTGGCCATATTGTCCCTCATCCACATCATATCATACACATGTCATTCATATCTTTCCATGGCAATCTATTCACCAATAATGAATACCAAATGGTTCTAAAGATTTATTAAAAACAATATAGTCTATTTATGTATTTCTACTATTTTGAAGTACAAATATAAAGGAAATTGTATTGAAATGCAGGTAAAATTTAGGCAGTTAATTTTAAAATTATCAAATGTAAATTATTTTCTCTTACTTTTCATGGTAGAGAAATACATAAATGGTTCCTCCAGCTGCCATGAGCCAGATAAACCAACGCATATGAGATGCCAGGGGTCCAAGTTCACGGAGATTTAACCTACAAACGTAAACATGACAACAAAGAACAGAAGGGATAAATGAAGGAGATTCACAGAACTTGTGTTTTCCTCTAGTCACTGAAAAGTGAGAAAATAATTAGGATAAGAGCAGGAAGAGAAGGTATCAGAACAATAAGGAGGCAGCTGGGCAATTTGGGTAAAATTAATAACTTAAAAAAGATAAAATTCTCAGTTAACCTTTAAGATCTAAAATAAGTTCTAGCATGATTTAAAAAGAGAACCAACTAAGAACAGACAAGCAGAAGTGAGTCCCAGCACACCTGTCATGCCTGAATTTGCCTAGGAGTGCAGACTGGGGTAAAGGATACTTGTCTTTTTATTTCTGAGCATGTTTTGGGGAGTGGATTGCTTACAAACTTAATGAGAAACCTGAACAAATTTCTGAGCCAGAATCACATACCCATAGCAGATACCTAATACACAGACAACATGTCTCCATTACCTAGCTCTCTGCCAAGATGAAACATGAGAAGAATTATCCCAACATGTGTGATGGAAGATATTCTGTTAGAATTTAACTGTGGACAATTGTGAGGTCTGAATTTTAAAATGTTGTGAGTTCATCTGTAATAGTATCATATTAAGAATATGAAAAAAAATGCTCTAATTGGCTATGACTATAAAATTAATATTTTCAATTGGAAAAGGTGCACTTGCAAAGCTAAACTAAATGTGAATAAACTGCCTATTTTGATACCTGATTCCTCAGCTCATACTTAATTTTTTTTTATTTATTTACTTATTTTAAATTGAAATGTACTTCACAAAAGCATTCAAGCAGTCTCACTCCAATATGAATCAGACCTATAATTTAGTAAGATGTATTGGGGAGAGCTAGCACTTATTTTTATACTAACAGATAATTATGCTTCTTTGGAACAAGTGAGGCTACATTAGCCAGAATCTAGAAGTCTGCTTTTCTAATGACTATAGCAATTGATGGCATAATAAGAACTTCTGAGTGTTTAAAATTGAACCATGTTTTGATAAGGGAAAACTAATGTTTCTTTAATTATGTGCTTCAAAGCAACATAAGATTGCATTTGTTCTGTACCAACAGGAAAGTAAGATCAAGAAAATGGAAGAGAATACGAGATATTTTAAATAGTTAAAACTAATTTGGCTAGTTCACTTACTCAGATAGCAAAGAAATGAGAATGTGCTGCATAAATCTCAAAAGGAAGCTTGCTTTTCTCATATGTATTTACAGCACTGTTTACTTGAACAATTCAAGTTCTGAAAAGCAGCAGAGGTATATGGAAAGAATATAGAGGGCAAAGTTTATGTTTAAAAATGAACATGCTGGGCTGGGGATGTGGCTCAAGCGGTAGCGCGCTCGCCTGGCATGCGTGCGGCCCGGGTTCGATCCTCAGCACCACATACCAACAAAGATGTTGTGTCCGCCGATTACTAAAAAATAAATATTTAAAAAAAAAAAAATAAAAAAAAAAAAATAAAAATGAACATGCTACCTACAATTAAGTTCATAGCATTCACATCCTCTTAGACAATTCAATTCTCAGATATTCATTCTAAACAGCAATATTTCTCATTTTAAAACTACAATCTGATGCAAGTAATCAAATAGGAAAAAATGCATATATTTATGTCCCTTCAGGGGGAAATGGAATGTATGCATGAGAGCCGGGGGCAGGGAGAGGAGGAATAGAAGAAAGGAGAAATGAGGAATTCTAATCATAAAAATATTGCCTTCAAGAATAGTTTTATCTTACCATGGAGCATAAGATGCTGCAATGAAGAAATAAATAACCATTCTATCACACATGTGAAAACAATGCTCCACTGTCCTGGTAAGGAAGAAAACACAAGTTAGCCACATTAAAAAAAAAAAAAAAATGTTTAGACTGAAAGTATGGGTTATCACTGCACTATGTTGCGATTTCCATTCCTGTTCTAGTCTCTCACGACATTTATAACTTGCTCTTCAAGCCACTTTTTTTTTTTTTAATATTATGAAGCCACAAATAAAAAGCTTTATATTGACTTTCAGGTTGTTCACACAATACATATTCTTACCATGTACAAGACAGAAATAGAGCCCCATGATAATTAGGAAGTCTAAAGTGATTAAAAGAAATGAAATCTGTCTTTTCTGATATTGTCCGTTTCTTTTAGAGCCTATCTAATAGAGAAATGAAATTCCTTGACAGCAGATCACCTCCTAGTTCTTCCCATAGCACAGGGCATGAGGTCCTGATGTTCAGCAAACACTCCCTGAACTTAGGCTAGACTCTTCGTATCTGTTTAGAATGTCTTTTAAAAAGCTTTCATTTTTAAATACCCCAGAGTAGACAAGAGGATGTAATAAAGGCAATGCAGTAATTTAGGAAAAGCCATAACAAAAACACAAAACATTCTATTTGCTACAAGAGGATGGCCACTCAGATTTCTAAGCAAGTTCCTCTTTCCAAAATCGAAGTCAGGAAATGTATGCACCAAGATCTGCCTCATGGAGGTCTACTCAAAATGGCTTAAGCAGAATCTGGCCTTTACTGAGGTGATTTAAAAGTATAAATGCACAACATCACTTGGATCTCTCTTCAGCGTGCAGGAGGTTCTAACGACAACCTGATGGAGCACTAGCATTAGGCTTGACCTCCCCCTACACAGTATTGACCCAACAGACTGATCAGGACTTGTGTTAGTGAAGTGAGAATACATTTGTGAGGAGGAATAGTTTTTAGTTTAGTGGCGGGAAGCTACAAGTTACCCCCAGTGTAACTCAGGTCACAGATCTAAAGAAGCAAGAACTAGATCAATGCTTCTCAAATTTGACTACTATGTATTACAATCACCTGGGGAGCTTTAAATTGTAGCCATGGACTCCAGCCCAGACAATTCTACTTTAAAGCTAGAAATGTGTTAGAGGGTCCAAGGAAAGGGAGTATCTGTTTTGAAACTTTTTTTTTTTTTCATTTTCCCTAACCTTCTGGAATGACTGCAACTCCTAGCAAAGTTCGAGACCTTTTTTATTCTGCTTTCTAGATTGTCAAGACATTGTTAGAATAGGGAGCCACAACTGGAACTTAATCAAGTTCTATCACCCACTTCTCTCTCACTATTCTCACAAGTAAAATGAAAGTAATTTCTTTCTTACATAGAATGTGAAGCGTTAAATGTGATAATGTAGGCCATGAAAATATTTAGCACATAGTAGCACCTAGCACATATTAATACTTCCCTTCTCTTTTCCACTGAAATTAAGGCATTATTTGGATATTTAAAATATTTAAGGCAGAGCAAAAATCTAAATGTGGCTTTTGATTCTACCAGTGCTACATCAAGGTTCAAGAGAGTCTGGTTTCGTTGCACTTTCCTTGTCCCCGGCAAGGAGGCCCTGAATATTGAATTAGGCATCTACAACTCTTTATTGATTCAGAAATCTAGACATCAAAGCCAAGTCTGCTGAGGCAACCACAAGCATTGGAATATGCCAAGATGATAATGAAGTGCTCTGCTTCCAGACTGGCCTCTGCGACAGTGTGCCCTGAGGAGCCAGGGTGGGTACTTTTGTGGTTGTCTTATGAGCATGTTCCAAAGAACCCTTGAAATTCAATGCTGTGGTTTTATTTTAAGCCCAGGGAACTGTCACCTTATAGGAAAGGGTAGCAGACAGCAAACTATATGCAGTATTATGAAGGATATGGAAAAAGAAAAAAAAAAAGTGCTTAGGAGTCAAAGGTCTTGGGATGATCCAATTCTGCTGGTTTCACTGAGCTAGACAAGTCAGGTTACTTCTTTAAGTCTCAGTTTGCCCAACTAAAATTAAGGAGTTTGGATTAGATGATCTCTAAATATCCTTCCAGCTCTGTTACTCTCGATTCTACATGTGACAAAATCAGTAATCATCTCCAAAATCCTGCTTGTAAATGAAACATCTTTTCAATACTAGATTTTTGAATATTTCAAGATTATTTTTTGAAATTCTATAAAACCAAAAAGTACTTTCAAGTATTACTTTAAATCTCTCTCAGACTGCTCTGAATCCTTCTTTTTCAAGAAAAAAACTTACCCTCTTGGGTTTAATCTACTAAAAAGCTATTTCACAAGCAACCCACCCCCATCTGAATGTTCTGTTCCTTCTAAAGTTGCTCAAATGATTCCTTTATGTTTCTGTCTTCTTCTTGTTGGTAGGCCAATGGCCACAGCAACGTTTGCAAAGTGCCTGACAGCTAACAATAGCAAAATACTTAAATGCTGATTGAATGCTATACATGGAACTTCTTTCTAAAACCTCAACTTCACGAAATGGTAAACCAAACTGTCATATATCTCCTTACATCACATAGTCCTATGGTATTTTGTAATTTTCCAATCATTTTCATATATATTATCTTATTCATCTATCACAATAACTTGTGAGTCAGGTATTATAACTCTCATTTTAGCAGTGAAGAAACTGAAGCTCCTTGAGGTCAAGTGACTTACCCAAGATTAAGGGGCAGGACTGGGACTCAAAACCCACTTGCTGACTCCAAAGTCAATGTGCTTTGTCACTAACCCATGGCTATTGCTTCTTACAGTAAGTATCCTTGGTGTGCTAGATAGAATTACAAAATTGCTCTAAGGATTAAAAGTTGTTAAGTCTTGGGGAACCAGTGAGTTATTATTTGTGGTTATTAGCAAAGGCTTGCTTTCTTAGATGCTAAGAGGGAGAGGAATCCTCGAGCTCTGTCCAACCCAAAGAAAGTGTTCTGATTACAGAACAGCACTTTTTTAGACCCTACAACATCTACAGCTGCCCTCCTGCAACAAGAAGATGTCCACTCTTTGCCCCATGTGACTAAAAACATGCCAGTTTGGGAGGATGACAATACACTGAGTCAACTAGTTTGGCCTATTTAAATAGCATTTTATCCACTGTACCTTAAGTGACTCTTTTTCCATGATACAATGTGAAATACTGTGGAAACGATGAAGAGGGCACAAAGGCCCATCCCATAAATCCATGCTGTTATCTTTTCCCAGCAGTCATCAGACAACCGATGGAGGAGGGCACTGCCCACAATGGCCGGAACAATGAGGAACTGGAGGAAAGGTAATGAGAAGTAAACATCCTAGCCATCATGAAAATAAGACTTTTGCTAAAAATAGAGGCTTAGCAAAATAATTTTCTAAGAAACATTTTCCTTTCTTGAATAATCATGAGAGCACAATGAAGTGGTTAGCTGTTACACGGGAAGCACACTGTTCCCAGGGACTGTGCCATCCAAGGTGTACACCAATAGGCAGGCAAAGATGCAACATTACTCAACTGTTGCAAAATAGATGTTCTTTATCCTGATTTCATTAAAGAAGGGCACATTTCATTCTACTCTCTAATCTGATTTGGAGTAGGTATTTAAAATATTCAAATGCACTAGGTACATTGGTGCAAGCCTTTAATCCCAGCAACTCAGGAGGCTGAGGCCCCAGTTCAAGGCCAGCCTGGACAATTTAAAAAAGTAAAAATAAAAAGGGCTGAGGATGCAGCTCATTGGCAGAACACCCCTAGGTTCAATCAGTACTTCAAAATATAAATAAAATAAAATAAATACAATGTTCAAATGCCAAGCATATGCCTAGATTTTTCATGGAGGTCCAGATTTTAAAATATTCTGTTCTATTGCCCCCATGGACTACTGAAATTCCAATGTTTCAGTAAAGGGTCAATGAATGAATCAAGTCAATGACTAATATTATGCATACAACACCACACACACACACAAAATCAATTATTCAAGTCATGTCCTGATTTTTAATTTGAATCTTTCATTCTATCCATTTGGGAGTTACTGCAGAATGACAGTAATTTTGCAGCATTTCATTTTTAATACTTTTGTTTTTAAGTAAACAAGAACAATCCGCTTTTAAGGCTCAACTACTCAAAAATTTTTAAGAAGCCAGAATCTTAGAATTTTGATCTCTGTGAGGAAGAAAAGGGGAGGAAAGGAGAAATACCAGGAAATCATATTGACCAAATAATATTGTTACATCATGTGCATGTATGAATATGTAACAACAAATCCCACCATTGTGTATAATTATAATGCATGAATAAAAAATATGGAAAAACAGAGAGGAAAAAAAAACAAAGAATTTTACTCTATGCTAATCTAGTTATATGACTGTAGCTGTGACTAGTAAGCATTTTATAATACAAAAACTCCCAGAAATTCCCAAACACTTTATTAATTATTAAAATAAGCACACCTAATAAAGAACAAATATTTTGGCAATCTTTTTGTCTTTTTTGGTCTTGTCTTTTTTGGTCCCCAACATCTACTGTTGCCTTCCTGCAACAGAACGTGAAATCTTGAGAGTTGGGACTGGTACAAATTTTCAGATGCCAAAGATTTTATTGGCCCAGAGCAAAATTAGAATAAGGGCAACGACATAAAGATGCTCATAAACAAAGTTACTTGATTGAAAGAAACATCCATTGAGACATGAGCATTTTACTTTTTATGTTAAAGCGTCCTCTCTTTAATAAAATGATGACAAGAGAAGGTTGTTCTTTAATCTGTTTTAGACACTCCACTGGTTTCTGAAATCCAATTATCTGTATATTAAGATTACATTTTCTGTTCTAAAGACAATATGAGGTTTTGTCAGTTTTTCTTTAATTTCAGCTTACATAAGTGTTTCTTCACTTGTGACATATTCATAAGTATAAGGATTTTTAGGTCTGTTCTAAATAAGTATTATTCCTAAAGGTGAGCTGTATATCTCAATACCCAGACCATTACACTGTACCAGAACTATCTATGATAATTAAAGTAGCTGCTTGTAAACACTTGTCATTAGAGAAATCATTTGGCCATTTTCTATATTGCATTTCTAGACTATCTCCCAGCCACTGTTTTCCCCTCAAAAGCCTCACAAAATGCAAATGGCAAAAGGAATAATAAATCAAAGATAAAATGAAATTTATAATGACATAAGGAAATGACAACTATGTGACATTAACAGGAAAACTATGGAAATATATACATACCCACAAATACTGCATGCACACACAGAAGAAATGTATCAAAGTGTTAAAGTTTGTTTCTGAGTCATTTTGTTTTTAAAATATTTTTCAGTATTTTTAGAGTTTCTTATACTGCGTATATTTTGCTCTTTTAAAGGAAAAAATTAAAAGCTCGGTGATCATATCCTGCTTTGTCTTCAGCAATACAGAATATCGCTCTGAGAAATAGTGGTCACTGTGGAGGTGGATGTAGGTGCATCATTTCACTGAGTTAAAAAAGCACCTTTTTTTGAACAAATTGTGAACTCTTTTTGCCAAATGAGCATGGCTGGATTGTCTTGAAAAGGCAATTCCAGGGGTGAAAGTCTTCATAACCAAGGTGTGTTTTTGGCTGTCCTATAACTAGGAGATTTACTTATTACTATTCTTTTAAAGATGATTTTACTGGGAAAAGTAAGTTGAGGATAGAGCAGACAGCAGGTTAGAATATACAAAGCATTCTCCATGTCCACACAGTTTCTGGTGAACAAGACCCACTGCTGATTTCTGGGTAGCCAAGGTCACAGAGGTAGGTAAACCCAACTAATCATGCCAAGGTTATTAGAGCTAATTACCCTTCCTCCCACCAGAACCCTATGGGCAGAACAGCAATAACAGAAAACATGTACTCACTGCATGTGTGTAACAGTTAGCAGCATGTTCATAGCAAGTTGGTTTGTAGCGGCCATTGGCTGGAGCCCGATGGTTCATGAAACTATAGAAACAAAAAGCCATCATGTGAATAAAGCTTAAAGCAAAGGAAAGAACAAGGAGGTAAGCCTGCAATGACTGTTCACCTATTCTAAATGAAGAGGTCACTGGTGAAAATACATAGTTACAGGAAGAAAATCAGAAGCCATTAAAAAAATGTAAACTGGGATAATACCAACGATAGTAAAGCAAATACCCAGGTCTACTGAATGAAGTTTTCTTTTAGTTTACTCAAAAGATAAACCTTCTACCAACCAAAACAAACAGAAACCATATTCAACACTTCAACTGGTACCCCTAATGAGACAAAAAAAAGTCATAACCAAATGGTAAATATTAATAGGAAAAAAAAAAACCAAGGGAATTTTTCTGGACTTTAGTTGTTGTCATTAAATGAAAAGATATATGTTGTATTTGAAAGGTTTCTGTTTTCTCTCCCAGAATGTATACAGCTTTATATATGCAGATCTTTATAAAGCTTACATCCCACAATTAAAGGCTTGCCCAACTAGTTTCCCCATATTGTGTTACCTGTTCTGGCAGCAGACAGCTTAAATGATACCTGGCTTCCTCTAGGCCACCTAAACAAGCAGGTATATTTTCACCTTCATTCTTCCTGTATTAAAGGAGTTTGCTTCAAAAACCAAACACATGACTAGTACCTGATATCCTGGATATAAAATTTATATATCTCACAAATTAGCATATGGATGTAAATATTAAAACCTGTTACCAATACAGATACATGCTGGAATTCCATGCTTCCTGTGTACCCCGACACTATCATAATCAGCAACAGAATGAAAACCTAAATACACAAGACCAAGAGATGACAGTGTTCATCTATTTCAGTGTGCAGATGAGGATGCCCCTAAATCTGCACTCACCCAGGTTTCATGGTGGATCCAGGATTAGTCTGACCACTCCCAGGAGGAGAAAAAAAAGTTGTCTGAACAAAGAAGTAGATGCAAAGCAGAAAGAAAGAGGGGTCAAAGAGCCCTGGGCAGCACTTAGGTCTCAGAGGTCAACAGGTTTCATACAATAAAATTATCCTTTTGTATGAGCTAGTTTGGAGGAGGCGAAAAATTTTTGCCACTAACAAGTTTTGACTAGTCACACATTATTTGTTGACATGATGAAAACCCAGATCAGGCTGACCAAATGGCAGAGCCATATTGCCAAAAACTGGCTAAAACATGGTAGCAAGCCATTCTAAACAGGGCCCAGTTGGTGATCAAAAGACTGGCCAATATTTTCTCCCTGATTAAGAAGGGCCTTAAGTCCTTAAATCAAATAAATAAAAACCAAATGGCAGTTCTGTCAACCCCATACACACAGTTCAGGTGGAATATCTACTATGGGATGAATTTGGGACAGTGAAGATCTTGAACCATCAATGGGTTAGATATTTAATTAGTAAAATACCTACTTATTGATGTAGTCCACCTGTGACTTGAAAACTATTTTTAAAAAGTCTATAGCAAGTAGCTTCTGAATTTATCCAAACTATTCTCACACATAGAGAAATGATTTCAAGCAATCATCTTTTCTCCCATGATAATTCTTTAAATAATACTGCTAATTTCCTAAGGGATGACAGTGTTGCTATACAGCTCTTATTAGTAAAAAGAAAAATAATTACGCTCTTGGGAAGAATGCTTTCAATGTCTGAAGCATTGAAGGACCTACCACATCATTACCCTGAGACATAACAACAGAGCTACAAGTAGCACAGCCTAGTGGGAATTTCAATGGGTAAAAAGTGAGGCTCCAAAATGGCTGAAGTTAGATTAAATTGAAAATGCTCCATGTAGGGTGCAGTAAGTAGGATCTGTCTACCCACCAACAGGCTGCAGCCTAAGATAGCAATTTATATCTCTGGCAGCCCAATCTAAAAATAGACAGGCCATTACACAGCATCAGGGATAGATTTTCACATTTTTCTCCTATAAGCAAAGAAGCTGGTGGCCATGTTTTTGGCAGCGTGGTCCCTGCTCACCTGGAAAAATTCAGGTTAAAAATAAAGTAGGAAATCGTAGAGAAAAAAAGCCCCTGTCTAGTGACTTAAGGGAGTCTCTTTTGATGGACAGGGACAAGATTAGGGCAATAAGGAAAAGTAAGAAGCAAGTATCTTGAGAGCATTTCACTGTCTGGGGCTCAGAGGGATAGACAGCACAATTGTTCTGCTAGAAAATTTTAATAGAATTTTTCCATTTCTCTCTGATCTACCAGCATGCCATCAAGCCTCCTCCACAGTGTTCTGAAGAAATTACTTCTAAGACATAAATGGAAAAGCAGATGTAAAGTGCAAATAAACTCCCACACATGTGCCTAATCTCTTCCTCCAAAAAAGAACAGAGAAAGGTTCAAGTGTTATGGAGAATAGGCACCCATTTACAGAAGACATCTGTGTTAAGGTAGAGTAACCTAATGGTTACCCAGTGCTCAGAAAAGGGTAACCAGCATGCTGGGAAGAGTCTGAGGGAAGGTGATTTAGTCACAGGGATGGGAACCACACTTAATACATTATTATTTAAGTAGGGGTTTTTAATTCATTGCCTTACTTTGTCTTTCAACATTCTCTCTTGCCTCCTCCTTGCCCAGTGTCCTTATGTGGCCATCCCATGTGACAGAATGCAAAACTACAGAGGGAAAGAACAATTAGGGATCCTGGAACAAGCCTTAGCAATCCACCAGCAGATCTCAGAGGCCCATGATCAAATCCCACAAGCTGTCTTTGATTCCTCTGTGTTCCTTTCTCCAAGTGCAACATCATTACCTTCAAAATACATTCCAGGTCAGTACTTCTCTCTACAACTCCACAATTCCTACCTTAAATCAAGACACCAACATCTGAAGTCTGTGAAAATACAGCCTCTTAACTGGCCTTGCTGCCTGTCCTCACCCAGACTCTCTTCTTTAATACAGCAACCACACAGTCTAACCCGCAGATCACATCACAACCCTATCCCAACTTAAAACCTACTTTTTGGTAACACTATATCATGTCCCTGGTCCACAAGCCCCGGGCAGTGTAGTTTTCACTTCTCCAATCTCCAGGTACTCCCTTCCTGCAGCTACACCCTCCAGCTACAACACCTTTCTGTTCTTTCAACAGGTCAAGGTCTTGTCTGCCTCAGGGCACTGGTTGTTTATTTCTGCAGGAAAACTCTTCCCCAGCAGGCTCAGTTCTCTTCTCATCCTTCAAGCTTAGCTCAGATGTCACCTGCTCAGAGATTTTTCCAGACCTTCCTACCTAAAGTGTCACTTCAGCCCTTCTCAACAACCACAGACTTTATCATAATTCGTAAGATTTTTTAAAACTTGTTTTTCATTTCATCTTTCCCCACTGTGGCATCAATCCCATGAAGGCTGTCTTGTTCACCATGTCATTTCCAATCCCAAGGACAATGCCCAGCTTATTAATGAAGTTTAATTAAAAAAATGTTCAATGAATAAATGAATAGAAAGACATTTCAACTACTGCTCAACTATTTTAACACAATTTAGTTTTCCTGGGGGTTCAGAAGGTTCTGTAAGAGAAATAGGCAGTTCTACAGTCAATGCAACTTGGAATCTCAAAAAATGAAAACTCAAAGATCGAGACAACAGATCCTCCAAGGGCCCCTTCAACATCACTTAGGCCAATCCTGGGCACAGCACCTTATTATTTATTACCTTCCCTTTGGAACTGAGCACAATTGTTCAGGAAGTGTATAATGCCAATGTGACTTCATTATTAAATAAAGGGAGAAGGCATACCTAAGGAGACCACCCCAATCCTATGATTCAATGCTCTAAAAACATGCAAAACAGGCACCCATGGAAGACTTCTAACACTGCAAGATAAGATACTTTCCCATATATTCAATCTTGAAGCTAACCATTGTTCACAAGGCTGGGATGAGGAAGAGAACATCCATATCCTCAGAGACGTCGTGGTGTGGACACAGAAAAAGAAAGGATGAGCTATCCATAAGGGTGGTAGGGAGAGAGACACAAAACTGATCTCCTGGGTCTGCCCCTTCTTAACTGTGCCTATAGGCAAGTTCCCTGTTGTTCTTTAAACCTATTTGTTCTTTTATTAAGTGGGTATAAAATTCTGTCTTCAAGGGTTATAGTTGATGAGATGGGTAAACTATAAGTACCCAGACAGTGCCTTGGCACCAACAGGCACTCAATTAATGTTAGCAGTTATTATCATTAGTCAGATGTTGTGAATGGGGAGGAATGACTATATATGTATGATTTGGCATACTTGGATTCTCAACTGGTAAATCAATAAAATAAGCAAGAAAATATTGTGTCCCTCTGTAATCTTTCACATCCTCAGTTTTTTGAGAAACCACAATTGCATAAATCCCTCCAGTTAGGATAGCAGAATGTTTCCTTACAGCCCTCCTTCATAGGAATGGCAGAACTCTGGATGCTGACCCAAAGCCACAATAACCACCAAGTTTCATTTTGAACAAAGCAGCAAGGTGTTCTTGTAATTTAGGCATAGCTACAAACTGTGGCCTAATGAAATGTCTTTACTGCAATCCAGTGCTTTTCAATTGGGTCTAAATGATCTATCAGGAAAAAGAGCAAACTATTTGAAAGACAGCATGTCCCTCCCTACAATTCCTGTGTAATTGACGTACCTGCAACTATAGTGAATCCTCAGAAAGATGTGTAACGAACACAGCTTCCAGAAAATGTAGACTGGTATTCTCAACATTTTAATGTGTAAACCACAAAAATCAGGACTTTCCAATTATATTACCTTTTATTTGCAAGTTCAAATTGATGCTTACAAATAGCTTTCCAATCTAGCCTATCATGAACAAGAAATTACAGAATCACTCAATTCTTCAATCAAAATCAATGTAGATCTAGATGTCATAAAGAAACTGTTAATATCCACAGTGCACAATAATATGCATCTGCTGAGAAAATTACTATCTATACTACACCAAAAGAAAATGCCTGTATTTTCAATTTTTAAATGGATAGAAGAATCTAAAATCACATTACAGTGATGCTAATAAAAACTAGACAGATTACTGTCCAGCAAAAAGAAGGTAGTGCAATCAGCTGAGAAGGCAGGATCCTAAGTGAAATTGGTTGGGCTTTTTTTTCCCTTTCATTTCTTTTAGGACTGTTTGAATGTTTTTGCAACAAAAAATAAAACAGGCTTTTTTGTTCTTTCTTTAAAATAGAAGAATTCAAAGGGGCAACAGAGAAATACAAACTTAATCAAATAGGGAAGGGGTAGTTTCACAGAATAGAGCCACTGTTCTCTGAAAACAGGAAGAACACAGATGTGCAGACAAGTAAAACCAAATCAAACAAACCACATGCATAGAGCTTCACAAAGCATGCCTGAACCACTGTTACATTCTCCCTTATCCCCTACAGTCCCCAATTCTGATATAAGGTTTTAAAGCCAGAACACTTTCGTTCCCTTTTGCCCTTAGAAACATTGATATGAAGTTCCCATTTGGGAAATGGTGCCAGGCTTTGTACACCCTGAGTGATGAGCAATATTCAGAAGCCAAATCTTCAAGTTGGTCCCCTTCCTGATGGCACAGACTACCACAACTCATGGCGGGGGCGGGGGTTGTTGGCTCCTTTACCTTTTGGGACTAGGAAAAGAACAAGATAAGTATAATGCGTAAGTCGGCAGTGAAGGAAGATACTGGAAGCAAGAAAAAGGTGCACTTGAAAATTGTAAAATTAAGGCAGTGCCTAAAAACTCAACAATAACCTCTTTGGAAGATTTCAGGTATGTCTTACTTTAAGTTCCCCATCACAGCCTGCTAAGCTAGCTGGCTGGTGGTGAAGGTTTGGGAATAGGGATGGCTGCCTTGTTCAGACAAAGGGATGGAGAGTTACTACAAACACAGGAGGGGTGAACTTTCACCCACTTAAACGAAACAGAAAAGCCCAGAGCTTCCTCTGGGAACTACGGGCCAGCGGCCTCCATCCACTGCTGTAGGGCAGAGACCAGCAGAAGTGAAGGCCGCGGTGCGCACCCCCCACCTCTCGCGGTCTGGCGTCCCCACCAGCTCTTCTGTGAAGAAGCAGCCGACCTGCCTTCCGGTGGCGCCTCCTGGGTTCCTCCTCCTCTTGGTTTCCCAACCCAAGCGTCTCAACAGCAGGTCTCTGCACTCGAAAGCTCTGCACTTGCTCCTTCGCTGAGCCCAAAATAGCATGGCTCTGGCACTCTTAAGCCTGACAACCAGCGAAGCCCCGACATGGTCAGAGAAGGCTGGGCCGGATGAGCATGCCTCAGTTTCCCTGTTGCTGGGGCCATTCACAGACAAAGCATCCAAACCGCCCAGGCCACTCTCCCCCGCTTTACAACACGTCAGGACTCAGTAGCAACCCTCATTCCGTGCGCCCCGGGAGACCCCAACCCGGGGGTAAAAGGATGGAGGCCAAAGCCTGGGCGGGAGGACTCGGGGGGCGGCACTGAGGCTGGGGCTCGGGTCCTCAGGGCTAGCAAGAGCTCTACTTGGATGGGGATCCGGCCGGCAAAACCAGTGAATTCCTGGGAACCAGGGCAAGAGCGGGCTCCGGATGCGCAGATCGCGAGGGGCCACCCAGGTCAGGCGCCAGCTCCGCGGAGGAAGGGGATCGCACAGGGACAGAAGGGCAGGGAATCCCTTGGGAGCCGGACCAAGCCAGGGCGCGGGATCCACCGGGATGCACCCAGGTGAGGAGCCAGGACCCACGCGCGAAGGGGCGGAATGTGGGGACCCGTTCCCAGCACCAGCGGCGCGGCGGGCGCGCCAGCCTTCTCACCGCTGGAAACGATTCTTGAACCGCATTGATCCTCCGCTCCTCCTCGGGGGCCGGGAGCTCCGTCTCGTCAGCACCGGCGGCGGGGCGCGCGGCCCTCATGGGCTTGGGCTGCTCCAGAGGCCGCCTGCGTGCCCGGTGGAGCCGCTGGGCCGGAGTGGGCCACGCTGGGGGTCGGGACAGGGCCGGGGCCAGATCCGGCGGCTGGGGGCGGGAGGGAGGCCGCTTAAACGGCCCCGGCGCCTCCCGCCTCCCGCCTCGCCAGGTCCTCCGCCCCCGGGTGCCCGCGCCCCGCCCCACCGCCCAACTCCACCCCCGCCCGCTCCGCCCTTCTGCGTGCGCCCGCGGCCGCCAGCGCGTCACCGCACCGAGCGGCCAATCAGCGCCCGGAGCGGCGCGGCGGCTACGCTGCCATTCATTTCTGAGGAGCTCAGGCGGCGGGGCGGGGCCTTACTGAGGCGGAGGAGGGGCGAAGAGAAAGGGGAGGGGCGATGGAAGGGCGGTGCTCTTCCATACAGCGTTGAGATGCAGCATGAATGGAGATGGAGGAGGGGGAGAGGAATTATAAAAGGATTTGGACTAAGACTCTGAAAAGCAATTATGAAAAACATAGCAAACAAGGACCTCTGATCACATTCTATTCTTGTTTCGGTATCATTCATCCATCCTTCGTCACGCATTTCTCCATCTTTCTATTCCTTTATTTCTTCATTATTTTGAGTGTCAGCTGGCTATTGTGAGAGATCCAAGGCAGATTTTTAAAACCTTTGCTTGTCTGTCATATGAAAGGATTGAAACCTTTAAGGAATAATCTAACACTGAGATTCAATGAGTACCATGAAAGGAGGGATCTTCTACAGGGATTCTTTTATGTTATCCTCCCATTTATCTTTTGATATTTTATCCAAGCAGCTTCTAAACCATCTAAAATATAATGCTGAATCAGGATCTTGTAGCTAAAGCTTTTGAACTCAGTGGGCTTTCTGGAAGAGAGGTTCAAATGGATGAAGGAAATAGGAAAATGAATGAGTGATTTACTGAGTCTTTCTGGGACCACTTCTGGAATTTAAATGTGCTCCCCTCAGTTAATCTGTCCATATCATTCCCTACTCCTCAAAATGGAAACTCTCAAGAGAGCATTAAGCCAGCTTGTTAAGGGGGTTTACTCTGCTGGCAATGAAGCATTGGAAAGCTGGAGGATTCTTCCACCCATAATTTTAATTTTACCCATAATTTCCTTTTCTTTAAATCCTAACACCAGAATCTAGAGGGTTGTTTTCTATGGTGATTGCATTATTTTTTTTTCAGGAACATTTCTGGATAGGCATTATCTTCCTCATTCCACACATAAGGAAACTGAGGCTTTTAGAGGTTAAGAAACTTGTCAAATGGAAAACTCATACTATCTTCCTCTAGCAATAAAGCTCTAGATCTTTTCAGTATGCCTAGGCCTATGTTTCAGTATGCCTCTTCCTATGTTTTAAAGTAGTATATGTCTCTTTAAATATACACACACTTTCTCTCTCTCTCTTTATCCATACTAAGCCGTGAAAATGAAGATGGACTGAAAAAGTCTATCATTTGACCTCTTAGGACTACTAAGTTAAGTTATAGGGAAGGGAAGGTAACAAAGGAAAGAACTAATAAAGATAGATGAAAAATATCCATATGAAATAGCATAAGAAGGGTTATAAAAAAGGAACCTCAACTGTAACAAATATACCAGACTGTCGGAAGATGTTGATAATGGAGGAGGCCATGCATTTTGAGGGGGGAGATTTATGGGAAATCTCTATACTTTTGCTGTGGACTTAAAATGGCTCAAAAAAAAAAGTCTTAAAAAAGAAAGTACTGGTATATGCTGCAACATGGATGAACTTTGAAAACACAATGTTAAATGAAAGAAACCAGTTACAAAAGACCACATATTATATGGTTGCATTTATATAAAATGTCTAGAATAGACAAATCCATAGAGACAGAAAATAGATTAGTGGTTGTCTCAGCAAGAGAGTGGGAAGGTATTGGAGAGGAAATGCTAAGAGGTATAAAGTTTCTTTTGGTAACTAAAGAAAATGTTCTAGAAGTGTGGTGAGGGATACATACTCTGTGAACACAGTGTAAGCAATTAATTGTACACTTTAAATGAATGGTTTGGTATATGAATTGGTATGGTTTGGTATCTGAATGGGGCTGGTTTGGTATCTGAATAAGGCTGTTAAAAACTATTTTGAAAAACATCCATTTCTGTAAAAAGATAAAAATCAAAACAGATTAAAATGGCTGGAGCAGGAAAACTATATTACTTATACTTTTATTAAAATTTTTCAAGAAGCTCAGACTTAGTAGGTACTCAACAAATACATGAATTTGAGAAAACATAATAACTGAAAGCAACAACAATACCATGAACCAACAGATGCCAGGTCACATCCTGAGAGTGGGTCATGGATGTGCAGAGATGTACAATCAGAGTGTGATGAGGCTAATTAAGGGAGAGAGGGAGAGAAAGAAGTCTGAGGAAGGAGTTTGAATGAAATGCCAGCATGATTTGGCATAGCCTTTCACAAAAATAGATTAAATAGGATAAAATAAAACACCTTGACCTACAATTGTCTCTTCTGAAGAATTATAGGAATATTAAAGGAAAGTGGCATATTTAACAAATATGATCAAAGTTTTAAATTAGCCTTATCATTCATGAAGCCTATTTTCCATGGTAAATGCAGGCCTCAAAAAATAAAAATAAAACACAATAAAAATAGCATCCTTTGAACACCTGCCACACTTTTTATTTATTTTTTTTAAACTGAAGTTTCCCTTTGCATCTCCTTCCCAGAAGGAACCCAGTTGTGTTTGCGGAAAAGATACACCAGATTCAGATTCAATTTAGAGATTAGGGGGGGTAGGAGCAGAAGAAAATGGAAATTTGTTGGTTCTAAGTTTTTTTTTTTTTATCAGCAGGATGTGACATATTTCTTGAGCTCAGAGAGTCAGTTGTTCTTTCTGAGAACCTATAGGCACATATTTGCATACAAAAAAGCCTGTGCCTAGATAGAAGGGATTTTTGACAGAGCAGACTTAAGGTTCAGAGGTAACCTTGGGGAGAATACTCACTCTGCTCACTGAGGGACACAGAGACCCTGGATAGGATGCCAACCACACTAGGAAGCACCAGGGACGCCCTCCCCTTGATGTGACGTGATCAACAAATCAGAAAATAGCAGACCTGCTCCAGACTTTGACTCTCAATGTCCTGGAAAGGTGACTAAACTTCAGTGATTGGCTTTCAGTCTGTCTCTTTGCAAAGAGAGATGAACTTTTTAATCTACTTTGATTTTTATCTTTTTACAGAAACAGATGTTTTTCAAAATAGTTTTTAACAGCCTTATTCAGATACCAAACCATCTTTGCAAAGATGGCCGAGTAAACAGTTATTTCAAAGGTAGATGCTTCCAGCCTTTTCCCCTTTCCTAAAGAGAATATCTTTTCCTATTTGGTCTTTTGTCCACATTCCCTTACCTGCTGGGAATGCTTGTCTCTGGATCCCAGCTCCTAGACTTTCATGATAAAATAATGGGAGAAAACAATGGGAAGGAGGAAAAACCCAAGGAGGGAAAAAAAGGGAAGAACTTAAGAAAATAAGATGTATTGATCTATATGATGAAGATGAGTGAAAAAAGAAAGCCATTATCTAGGGGGATGTTGGTCAAGGCGTTTTGAGAGGTGAAGAGGGATTTAGCAAAGTAAGAGGATTCTCAGAATAAGGAATTTGAGTAGAATGAGAAGAAAATGAAAGGGACCGGGAGAAGTTTTATTAAGCATATGTAACAGATATGCTAATATTTTCTAGCAAATACAATTTTGGGTCCCCTTTAAAATTATGGTTATTATCAACTGTTTGGATGTATTGATTCAACAGTGACTCAGAGGTGGCATGGAAAGGGGAGGTACAATGGTTACATGGATTAATTTTTTGAGTGCCTAACATGGTCCTAGAACTTCTATATCCATTATTTCATTTTATTCATTAAACCCTCCTGTGAGATAGATGATATCATGCTTATTTAATAAATGAAGAAGATAATGTTTACAGAGGTTTTTGCAAAATGCTTCAATTTGTATATGGAAGTAAAAAAGTTAAGATATAGACATGAGCCCAGGTTTTCTGACCTCAAGCTCAGTGCTTTTCCTGTCCTTCCTTCATCTCAGTATATGACTGTGTCATTCCTCATGGCACAAAGCAGCATTCTTCTCTCAGTGGACAATCAATAAGTGGCATTCTGTTAGCTATAGTGGTTGTTTCCCCTCAAAAAAAAAAAAAAAGATTATTCTTTGACTGTAGGACACTTTGCCTGCCTCGTGACTTTCTTACTGAGCATGGAAAGAGGGTTAGGATGTTCAGCTCTTTCTTTAAAAGAAGTTATGGGAATTGGTGAGAATAGGGATGGGAATACCAGAAAATGCAAAGTAGACACCCCAAACCCACATCCAACGAAAAAGAAGCTGATGGCAGTCGTTCTCACCATGTGGTTCAGAGACAACAAGATCACCTAGATGTCAGTCTGTTTAAAATTGATGTCTGAGCTTTTGCTTTAGTCAAAATAAAAAAGTAATATTTAACAGAATGTAGACGGCCTTCCATTAGGGTCATTTAGTCCCGATGCACCTTACTTCTTTAGGTAGAGGTGGTAGGAACCACTGTGGATACACACCTGTGGAGTTCTTTTATTGTGCCACAGTCAACCGAGAGGGGAAAGAGTTGAGAGATTCTTAGTGCCTCTCTATGGTCTCAGTTATCCTATGTGGTCATGATAAATAAGCAGAAGTAGCAAAATGAGGCATAACTTCCCTTAAAAAGGGAATAGCAGAGTATATTGATGGAAATGCTCAGTACTATTTTTAACTTGCCCACACTGAAAGCTGATGCGCTGGAACATGCTTACTATTGTAGGGTCCAGATACAATAGTTTATCATCATTCATTTATAATTCAAATCCAATTGGGCCTTTTTGAACAAGCCTTGCACCTCCATTGCTGATATATACTTGACTCTATTTCTGGGCTATGCATATGCAGATTCAACCCATGGTGGATAGAAAATACATATTTTGTTAAATTCCAGAAAATTCTTAAGAGCAAAACTTGACTCACTGCACTGAGTACTATACTGAATTAACACAAGTGAAGAGATGTGATAGGCAGGCACTGTATTA